ACGCGCGACTGAAATTCTCGTGGACCGCAGCCCTGCAGCCCCTGCCGACCGGCGCGGCACTGGCCGGGCCCCTGCGCCCGTCAGCCCGATGCGCTTTTGCAACGCCCCTGGGCCCTGCGCATGCTCGGCCTTGACGGCCGCCGCCATCCCGAATTTCATCGCCCCTGCGCTGGACCGAACCAGCGTCGGGAGGTCGGAATCATCGTCTTGCTCGGCTGAGAAGACCACCTTGCGCGCCACTGCCCAGACATCGCCGCGCTCGATGACCGTCTGCTTGGCCTCGAGGTAAGACCTTGCTGCCACCTGGCCATCCTCGAGCTCGATCATTCGATGGGCGTCGCATTCGCCCTCCATCTTCCGATGCAGCTCGATCCTCGCGCGCGCCGCCTGCCACGCGCGCGCCAGCGCTGCGACCTGTCGGCGTCGCTCGAGCCCAGCCGACGCGTCGACGTTGAGCTGGTCTCCGGCAATCTCCACGACGTCCTGGCCTGGGCCCACAATAACGGAGAACCTGCCCCGGCTCGTCGCGAAATCAGAACGCAGCTGCGCCCGCGCGCCAAGCGGCGCGGATCCTTTGCGGAGAGAAAGCTCCGGGCCGCGCTCGGCGAGGCGAGCGCGCGCGCCTTCTTCCTCTGAGAGGGCCCGCAGCGGCGCGCTGTCGAGCCGCCCCCTCGACGGCGGCTCGCGCCGGCGACGCCGGGCCGCGCGGGCCTCGGCCCTGACCGCGCGAGGCGGCTCGAGCAGAAAGGCCCCGAATCGCACAACGATCCGGCAGGCCCGACAAACAGAGAAGAACGCGCCGCGCGGCCCCGACGCCCCAACCGCCCCCCACATGACCCACCCTGACGCAAGAGACACTCCTCCCCGCTCGGGGCGCCCTCCGCCCGCCCGCAGCGAAATGGGGGGGGCAGCGGACGGGGCGGGCAACTTCGCCGCGGGCGGGGCGCCCGCCAGCAGACGGCCCCCCGGGGCGACCCAGGGGGCGCGCCGACGGATTTCCCGCCGAGAGCGGGTTCCTCGGACCGCGCCGGGCGCAGGCCGCGGGCGGCTGCCTGCCCCAGTCGCCCCCTGGGTGGCGCGGCGGCCAACGCGCCTGCCAGCGCGCGCGCGGCCCTCGCCCCGGAGGATCGCGCGGAGCCCCGCGGCCGCCGGCGCCTCCTCCGCGGGCCGCCGCCCGGCTCTCCCGCCGCAGCGGAGGCGCGGCCGCCTCCCCGACGGGTCGCGCGGGGCCCCGACGTCGCGGGCGCCCTCCTCGACGGGCTGCTTCGGCCCCCCCGCCAGCGCGCAGGCGCGACTCCCGTCCCAGGGGAACGCGCGGAGCGCCGCCGCTGCTGACGCTCTCCACAGCAGGCCGCCCTCTGCCGGTCAACCTCGCGGCGCCAGCACCTCTGGCTGACCGCGCCATGCTCTGCTGGATCCAGGACCTCGTCGAAGTGGACCGAGCCCAGCGGCGACCTGCCAGGGGCCCAGCCGCAGCCTCCAGCCTCATCATGGAGCCTGGCCACCGTGTGATTCTTCGCGTTCACGATGAGGTACTTGCCAGCCTCCTCGAGGCCCGCATCCGAGGGCGATGGCTGATGCGCCCGTTCTCGCACTGGATGTTTCCCCCATTGCCGTCGTCGCGGTTGCGCTCTGCCTCCAGCTCCTCCAGGGCGATCTCCGTAGGTGGGTCGAGTTCCTCTTCCTCGTCTACGTCGGCGGCCTCGGCATCGCAATTGCAGCCACCGGCGACGCCCCCCTATCCCCTCGGCGCTCCCAGGCGCCGCGGGCACCCATCCGGCGCCGCTGCCGAGGCCCTCGTAAGTCTTGGCCGCTACGTCCGTCGCCCCATGCCAAGTGGGGATGTTCCTCAACACCAGCCAGGCCGTCAATTTGGGGATAGCCGCTGCCTCGCCCAGCTCCACGATGGCCATGCCTGAGAGCAGTACCACTGAGAGCTGCTGCTGGAGATTGGAGACGACGGCGCCGCGCGCCCTGCGCAGGTGTCCGCGCCATCTGGCGACCGCCTACCCAAGTGCACCTCATCGCGCTCGCACGTCAGGACCCCCGTCGCTGCCAAGGCCGATGGGATGGTCGCTCGCTCCGAACGCTCCGCCCAGAAGCCCGCGACCTCTTCGGGGAGGAGGGGCTTTGTCATCTCGACCTCCAAGGCGCCAGCATCCTCCGTGGCACCTCCTGGACAGCCGCGCCGCTTCGCCGCATCTGGCGAGCTTGCGGACCACCTCCAGGCCAGAGTCGTCGCACCGAGGCATGAAGTAGTCCCTCTCGAAGACCGCGACATCCTGCCACAGGCGCTAGCCCATCTCTATCCACGACTGGTCACGCACGTAGCCCTCGCGGGACACCAGCAGCGACAACTCCGGCGCTTGCGCCCTGCACCGCGAGTCTACGCAAGCACCAGCGCGGCCGTCTGACAACCGCCCACGAAGGCGAGGCCCCGAGGCAAGGGCAAGCCGCAGTCGTCGCAGCGCAACACCGCCCAGGCCTTGACGAGGCGACG